CAAAAACATCGTAGTAATGGGTAGAATTCATTTTAGGATTCAAATACAGGGTGTTCCATTTAAAAAAACATATGTTTGGTTTGCCACGGACTTTTGTGTGCACCCTGTATAATGAAAATATTTTTAGAATATGGATCTCTTAACTATGCACCTCGTGACAAAAAATTATTTCATAATTCCTCGTCGTTCAGGCGTAATCTTCCACCCCATCTTGGTTGCACCACCCTGTATATATATATATATAGAGAGAGAGAGAGAGAGAGAGAGAGATAGAGATAGATAGAGAGATAGAGAGAGAGAGATAAGCCCTCTATGAGGACAGAGTCACTCTATTTTTATCATACACTATAACTCTATCTCGCACACAATCAGACAAAAACGACAGAAACGAACCTTCTTTTAAAAATACATGGGATTTATCATTATTAGAATAACCCATTTTAATTTAAAACATTAAAAAAAATTACAATGGGTTATTCTGATGACGAAAAATAAAACATAATTAACTGTATTATTCAAATAACAATAATGTGCAAAAGTTCTTCAGGAATATTGGCAAATTTATTTTGGAGGAAGAATCCCGTCAACGAACACTAAAAAATATTATTAGAAACCTTAGGTGGCCAGAAAACAGCCCCGATCTCATTGTCAGTCCTTTAGACATATATTTTTTTAAAGACCTGAAAATTTACAAGTATTGAAAGAAAAATACAGGACGAAATGCTTGATAATTTTGAATTTGTTTTTGAAGCAATTAATAGTAAATTAAAACATATTTTCAACTGTATCATCACAATTACTTGCATGTTGATTTGTAAAAATTGTAGGTATTTTAATGTTATTTCGTTTTTAGGTATTCTCCTTATGTTGTTGTAAAGGTTAGTTATAAAAATCGTCGTTTGTTATTTTCACAAGGATGAATTTTAATTTTTTTAATGATTTTTTTTATTTTAAACATATACAGGTATATTTTATGCCAGCAAATTTTGATGTCAAAGGAAATAAAGGAAAAGTCGTACATTTATTTGTATTTAAAGTTTCTTTCTATCTTTAATTATTAAAGCTATAAGTGGATGTCAAAATACAAAAAAAACCTGTACCTACATTCCGCGACGTACTAATAACCCACCTTGTATATTAAATAAATTTATCGTCATCATCAAATATTAAAAAAATTATAATTACAAGCTGTTTAAAATATCATTATGAATTTTGTTTATTTGGAAATACATTTTCTGCAGTATTTCAATACCAAAAAATTAAAATAGGTAGCTAATTAACGAAATTATGATTAAATAACTTAATTGTAACACCGCGGCAGAATATATATCATATTAAACTACATAGATGTTCGTTGATTCTTTAAAAACATTTTTATCAATACCTACATCGTACATTTAAGTAAATACAGTAACGTAACGCAAAAAACAGATATTGATAAAAAAGTGTACAAAAGAAATCCGTAAGTACGCCTGGCAACATTACCAAAGTCTTGTTTATATGTTGCTAGGATACGCGTAGGTATGCGGGCCGCTGCATTTGATCCTTCCTAAAATTCTGCTGGTGGTGTACTATACCGGCAATTCGGAAATTTAAAACTGCTGGCCTATTCGAGTAGTGGTCTGTGGCTATAGCTATTTTGTCTGTGGAACGAGTGACGCGGATATTGAAGCAGCATTGTCATCGCCCATCGCCTGCCTTTAAACAGTTTATACGAACTGCGTCGCCTAGCGCACGATTATACAGGGTGATTAATCAACAATGGGAAAGTCGAAATCTGAAGATACTACACATGAAATGGTGACCATTGGCGCAAACATGCCTTATCTGAAAGTTGATAGTTTCGGAAATACAGGGTGTTGAAAGTTAAAATTTTAAATAGTTTTTTGCGATTATTCTGAAAATATGTAGGTTAGGAATTAGAAAATTTGTGAAACTATATTTTTTTAGGCGACGAATAAGATGCGTGTTATAATTTCAGCATTGCTTATAGAAGGCGCCACTTACGACCAATTTTACCGAAAATTTAGTTAATAACTTTTTACCCTGTATATTTAACATGAAACTTGATTCAAAACCTGAATGAGCTATCATTTTGCAATTAATTATGTACTCTTGTTTCATTTCTGTATCTCGATCCGTTTTCGAGAAAAATCGATTTAACGAACACTATGTTTTGATAATCTTAGAAATTAAAAGCAAAACAAACCAAGTGTTTCTTCGTGTTATTACAACAATTAACAATAAAACAAATAAAATACGTAATTATGATTTAAAGTAATTATTCGAATAATTCACCGTTGACACTGATACACTTTATACGTTTTCTGAGAGATCTTCGAGTTTGAAACAACATATTGGGATTGCGTCCGACTTCGTTGGCAGCGATTTGTATTCTTTGCCATAACTCTTCACACGAGCCAATCGATTCTTTGTAAACTATATCTTTCATTCGAGACCAAATAGAAAAATCAAGAGGATTGAAATCCGGACTTCTGGATAGCCAAGCAAAAATGCTTAGATGGCCAATCCAGCGATTTGGAAAAACTGCATCTAAATATGTACGCACTGGCCAAGAAAAATGCGGTGGAGCTCCGTCGTGCATGAACCACATGTCTTCTTAAATAAAGTGGAACTTCTTCAAGCCGTGGCAGCATTTTTACTTAGCCACCCAGAAGTCCGGACTTCAATCCTCTTCATTTTTCTATTTGGAAGAATCTATTGGTGTTCGTTAAATCGATTTTTCTCGAAAACGGATCGAGATACCGAAATGAAACAAGAATACATAATTATTGGAAAAATGATTGCTTTTTCAGGTTATGAATTAAGTTTCATGTTAGACATACAGGGTAAAAAGTTATTAACTAAATTTTCGGTAAAATGGGTCGTAAGTGGCGCCCTCTATTGGCAATGCTGAAATTACAACACGCATCTTATTCGTCGCCTAAAAAATATAGTTTCACAAATTTTCAAGTTCCTAACCTACATATTTTCAGAATAATCGCAAAAAAACTATTTAAAATTTTAACTTTCAACACCCTGTATTTCCGAAACTATAAACTTTCGGATAAGGCATGTTTGCGCCAATGGTCACCATTTCACGTGTAGTATCTTCAGCATTCGATTTTCCCATTGTAAATGAATCACCCTGTAGATCCAGTATGTATTTTATTGGAAACGCTATTCAAAAAACAATGTGTACGTTCGGAAGTTTTGGAAAGAATGGTATTCGGAGTATAAGAGTGGTTTGTGGAAGTGTTTATTAAAAAAAACTTTTCTGGTATGCCGTGTTTAATTGTGGGTGTAAAGTCGGGCGTGTGGAATAAGGAGAGATTTAACAATTTTGGGAACGTCGCGCGAGGCTGTCGTAACCACAAAGCTTATTAGGAACATACATGATTGTACGGTGTGCGTTAATGTTCGCAGAAGTCTACAAGCCGGACTAATATTTCTATTTGTTATAAAATCTAAATGAAGATCCTTCTCACGAACGTTAGCTTTTCGGTAATATGTATATATCGCAAATGCAACTAAAAATTTCCAGATTCATTTAAAACCGTTTGACCTTGAAAATTTGAAAATTTTCGCCTGCGGCGCTTTTTTTTCTCATTAGTCAGTCAAGGAATATGCTTCACCTATTCTCAATGTCACGAGCTGCCACTGAAGTTATTAAATTGTACCCTACCTGTAGTCACATACTTCTATCCTATACTAATCATTTTGCGATTGACTTGAAGCCGAAAAGTGGGGCGACGGACCAGCGTATTCATACGCATGCGCTTCCTTTATGGGTTTTGATTGGTTGAAAGGAACCAAGAACGGTAAACAGTAAGAAAGCCAAGCTAACCTAAAAATATTCTCATTATGTTTTGTGTTGATGTGTTGTGTTAGTCCTTTGGTGTATTTTCTCTAATAATTGCGACTATTATCCTGTATATATTTTAACCAAAAACTTTATTAAACTTTGTTTGTTGTTAGTTATTAGTATTAGAGATATGGGTAGACTTTGTGCCTTATGTCGTTCAAAGAAAAGCGAAGAAATTTAGCTCCACGGGTAAGTACATTATATTTTTATTATTATTCAATATTGTACACTGAACTGGTTTATTATGCAAAAATCGATATATATGTTTGATAGATATTATATTTATGCGTACTTTTATAGTATATATTCATGGGTATTGTATTGCTTAAGCCATGCTCTTGTAATTAAATTTTCGTTCTTTTGACAAATTACTGAAATGCTGTCGATAAAAATACATTGTTAGGTAGTTCAGCAACTTTCAGCAGTTAGTGTTTGTATTTTATTTTTGTACCTACCTTAAAGAAAACTTTTTCTTTAGATTTCCTACAAATAAGGAAATGGAAGCCAAGTGGAAACTAGCTTGTGGATTTGAAAAATCTGATTGTGTTAAAACCATTGTCATTTGCTCAAACCACTTTAAGGTGGAAGACTATTATACTAGATTTATTGGGTCATATGATAAAAGGAAGTTAAAACCTAACGCTGTACCATCCGTGAATGTTCCGCATAAGGAAAATATTTCTCCAAATGTCCAACAGTTATCAGGTAACCTATATACGTACTAAATATTTATCCAATAGCTAATATATTTTTAATTTTAAGTAACATTTATGCAGGTTCTAAATAAATATAATAAAATTCAGGGCATTACTCCTCAATGAAAATTAATAGGAGTTTTTCATATGAAGAATTCTACGGATCCCTGTGAAAAACGTTTCTCAATTTTCAAAGAGAAATTACCCCTGAATGTTTTTGCATCACAAAGTTACTTTTTAATCTAAAAAATAGGAATAAAGTACCTAATATGTCAATGGAACACAGTTTTTGTAACTTATTTATTTCCTATATTTATGTACAGGGTGGCTGATTTTCGAGCCTCATTGCGATCTTGGAAACAATAAGAGATACAAGCTAGATTAGTTAAATTATGGCAAAGTTGCGCAATCTGATAGTTGTCAAGATGCTATGTTGAACTTTGTAAAATTCTGAAAACTTTCAGAAATATCTGAAAAAAAAACGAATTTTCATAAAATCTTTTACTTTTTTCGACATTATTTGAAAACAAATTACACTTCTGTCTAAATTCTTCTAAATTTTATATTCAGTTTAAATTAAACATGCTTTTTATTACAGCAGTGGAAAAGAAAAACGAGAGCGATGAATTTAGTGAAGTCCCTTCAAAAAAACTTAAGATGGATCGGATGACAAAGAACGAATCAATGGAAAGGATTGTATCATCTCAACCTAAGTTTACTGAATTACCCTCAACTTCTGCCTTAGAAAGTGATCCATTGTCAGGTGAAGATGTTATTGTTTCTACCCCTAGAAAAAATCAGAGAATCGGAAGATCAAGCCCAGATGTAGCAACACCAAGACGTGCTAAGAGAGCTCTCTACCAGTCCCGATATGTTCAAGGTCAACTTCGGTATAGGATTAAAAAATTGCAGCAAGATAAAAGACGACTTGTAAAGAAGATATCGACATTGAAGGAACTTGTAGAAAAATTAAAATCTAATAAGTGAAAATTGTGGCGATATATTAATGGTAAAGTTATAATGGTTATAGTTGGTTAATATTAGAAGATGGGTTGGAACCTTCGGTGTAGACACTATCGGAGATGAGTTCTCCACACACCGAAACGAGGTACTTTTACTGAACATCAAATTTAATCATCCTTGTATGATGTTACCTTGGTTAGAAAAACGTATCGGGAAAAGTACCACCCTTGGTGTGTGGCGAACTCATCCCTGGTAATGCTATACTTGTACAGGGTGTCTCAGATTTTAGTCAAGAAAATTTGACGAGCAATAGAACTTACAAAAACTTATATGAACTTGTATATTTTAAAGCTTCGTTTTCAAGATACAAATTGTTAAAATTAACAAAAAAAAATCCTTCAAATACCCCAAAAACCATCTGGCTGATTATGGTAAAATTCCATTTTTTTTAGTGATAAGTAGATATCTTTATCTGATGTGATTAGACTTTACTCATTTACCAAAAATATTTTTTGGTAAATTTTACACCCTCTATCTTGAAAGTAAAACTGAGAAACCTGTAAATTCATATGAACTTTTCCTTTTATTTTTACAAGTTCTATTACCAGTTATATTTTCCCGATTACAATCTGAGATACTATACTTTTTTTAATATTCCATAAATAGGTGGGAAGCAATATTTATGGTCCATGAATATGAAACCATATTTTCAATTCATGTTCTTTCATTATAACAAAACAACAAAAATAAAACAATTAAGTCAATTATAATTAGATATTGTATTGTTGTTTCGTTGCATCGGTTGGAAAATTAGAAAGAAAAATTGAAAAGTTATTTTTGTAAAAATTGGAAAATGTACTTTTTCAGTGACTGATGAACAAAACCAAATTATATAATTTTTATAAATGTTAAATGTGTATTTACAGGACAGAACTCCCCCAGTAATAGTGGAATTGATAAACTCCAAAATAAAATCAAGAAAATTGAAGTACTCGCAACAACTGAGATGTTTTGCTTTAACTCTTCAATTCTATTCATCCAGAGCATATAACTATGTAAGACAATGGGGAAACCTGCTACCTCATCCGTCAACTTTGAGACGGTGGTACACCATTGTCAATGGAAGACCTGGTTTTACTCAGGAAGCATTTCAAATTTTAAAAGAAAAATCAAAAAATGAATCAGTTATTTGCAACATCACAATAGATGAAATGTCAGTACGAAGCCAAATACTTTATAAAGGCAGCAGATTATTTGGATATGTTGACTTGGGAAGTGGAGACATTCCCACGGATTCTTGCCCCCTTGCGAAAAGTGCCCTTGTTTTTATGGCAGTTGATCTTAGGGGGCACTGGAAAATCCCACTGGGTTACTTTTTAATTAAATCACTTAATGGAATGGAAAGGGCAAATTTATTAAAAACTTGTTTCGTATTGTTGCATGAAACTGGCAAATTTGCCAGTCAATTTGCTTTGATGGGGCTAGTGTGAATCTGTCAATGGCTAAATGTTTAGGTGCCAATTTTGAATACGGATTTGCTTTTAAACCCTATTTTTCTCATCCAGTTACAAAAGAAAATGTTTATGTATTTTGGGATGCTTGTCATATGATAAAGCTTGTTCGCAACACATTTGGAGACAAAAAAGTTCTCTACGATGAAGAAAACTTACCCATAATGTGGGACTTCATAGAAAATATTGTGAAAATTCAAGAACAGGAGGGGCTTCATTTAGGGTGTAAAATTAATAAACAGCATATTTGTTATTATGATAATAAAATGCGTGTTAGACTTGCGGCACAAGTTTTAAGCGAATCTGTGCATAGTGCACTCATATATTTACAACGAAAAAATGCTACTTTTACAGATACTTTTACATACACCTAATACAAATGCTGATAATAATTAATACATTATATTATCAAAATTCAAATTTCATTAGAAAACTCGATGGGTGATGATCGATCTAAGTAGGGATCTTGTACTATAACATTTATTGGTTTTTAAAAGTGATATGTTTTGTAAATTTACTTCTTACTGACACATTAACTAATTTGGATGCCTCATAATGAACTCTCACAGTGATATACTTTAAGCAAATCAATTTAATTAATTCTACTCTGTGGTTGTCCAAAATATTCTGCGTTTTTATATGTTCCACCATATAACTATCAGAAAAAACATGTACATTGTATAAAATTTTGTTTACAATTACTTTTTCAAAATGTTTTATTTTTTTAATAGAACATTCCATTTGCCTAATAAGTATTTCAATCGCCTTACAAATCTTTATAACATCATACGATGGCATAACGTAAGACCCCCTATTTTTCAGATGAGTCAATAGTACTTTATCTTTTCCGACTAAATATTTTCTACAAATTTCACGTAATTTTTTTTAAATTCACGAGGAAATAAATCCTGCTATATATGAAGTGACATCTTCTACGTAAGGAGAGAGTTCGTATAACGTTTTTACATAATCATGGTCAAATAAGGCGTTATCATCTGTTGCTACATTTTCATTTGTCTCGCAAAGCGGATCTGTTATTTTATTTGAGCAGTAATTTAAAATCGGAACATGGTCCAACTGGCAACTGCCATCTTGAGAGGCACACACCTCATTTTTTACAAGGAGCCTTTTATACGCCGCCTCAAATTGAATGGCGTTCGGGTTATTATTAAAGCCACCCCTACTTCTTATTGCCCCAAAGAATGTCTCGATATGGTCCTGACTCAATTTAAAAGTCAGTAGATATTTTAAATTGTGCTTTTTCAAGTCATTGTAAAGTGGAAACATGTTACACAAACATATTATAAAACCAAGGAACCCAGTTTTTCTATTGCTGTCAATGATTCTGGTTCCACTTGAATCTTTTAAGCCCAATAAATATTGTATAAAATATTCGCTACTATTTTTTAAGAAGTTTGCCTAATAAGTATTTCAATCGCCTTACAAATATTTATAACATCATACGATGGCATAACCTAGGACCTCCTATTTTTCAGATGACTTAATAGTACTTTATCTTTTCCTACTAAAGTAATACAATATATTTATTCTTAGAACACTATATTTGTAAATAGCTAAATATTAAAAACTGTTATGGTATAGTGTATATTTTAATAAATAAATAAATAAATAAGTGTATCTTGAGTTTTTTTTTATAATCTGTTTAAACCTTCACTAACTCTTCTATTAATTCATCTTGTGTTGATACTCAGTAAAAATGTTTCAAAATTTTACTCGATAAGAGCCTTCCTAGAATAGTGGACATCATTATCGGATTGGTCTCCTATAGATATTTTATACCATTTTTTTATATTATCGAATAAACTGCAGAAACCACTACAATAAATAATTATGTAATAAACTTTTTTTTTATGAAACAAAATAATTCAGTTGTGCTGTATAAAGCGAATAGTGACGATTTTTTGTTTAATAAATACGCCAATGTTATTTAAAAAATGTCCAAAATTACGAACATAGCCTATGTACACAGTTTTAAAAGCATATAAATTTGTATTCTGTTTTATTTTATTTAAGGCTACAAAATATTAAATACTGCTATGCAATACGTTATTGAAACTAATAAATAGTAAAATAATGTATTGAACATGGAGCCTATTCTATAGAGGACTCAGTAGAAAAGTAAACATTCAGAAATTGGAGTGAACTCAGTGAAAATATATTTAATAACATTTTATATGTACATATATAATCGGCTATAGTACAGAGCATGCCGTGACAATCTTTTGAATTTGAATGCAACCCACATTGCAACCGCGCCTAATTATGGAGCATGCGCAAAGCACACGGAGTACGTCTCACCCCCACTTTTTGGAAACAAGATCATCAATTGAAACTATAGGTAATAATCAGTATAGGATAGAAGTATGTGCCTGTAGTGCTATGTGCCGAAGGTAGTCGTTTCGGAATAGCCCGACACACTTGGGAAAGGCATAAAACTTCTTTCCTAAAATAATTGATTTTCTGAAAATTATACAGTGGTCTTACCGCTTAAAATCAAACAAATGCATAAGATTTAAACAATTTAAATCATTACATTTATAAAAGTTAGAGTAGGTAAAAAAATATATTTGTAACATTGTGGCCTTTTTAATTTATTTGTCATTCACAATTGAAATTAAGAAGCAGCATATTTGATGTATAATGACATGGAAATGCAGGAAGCAGGTAACCCATAATAAAGGTACAATTTTTCTACATTTAATATATGTTTTATAGGTCAATCTCACCAACATTCAAAAAAATCTATCTGTATGGGCGCGTTCTTTTTTACAGCATAAGTTTTTTGATAGAATTCATCTGCTAGATTTGCCATAGATTTGTGTTGACACAAGAATTTGAAATACGTCACTTTCTGCTGTGATACCAACGGACTACTAGAGATAAAATTTAAGAACGGGTTTGTTGGACTTATGGTAGAATTTCTGTTGAGTTTTGAATTCATAACTATATATTTATTACAAAAGCAATGTTAATCAAGATGTTAATACGAAAACGTTCCTGTATATGAAACGTCATTACATATATTATTTTGACGTCTAAAGCCTCTTGTTCGTCCATTTATGTTTCTTTTTAATTTTGCCTTTGCCTAGAGCACAGAATAATCAGTTTTTTAAGGTTCAGATCAATTTATCATAGAACAACCGAAGTCAAAGTACGGTTGAGAATTGCTTGCATCATGATGGCATCAGGTTGAGTTAACCTAAATACATCAGTCATTATTTAAGAACGCGTTTTTGTGTGTCACCGAAAATCCACCAAAAATAAAAAAACACCTTGCTGAAACCTAGATTCCACCAAGGTGAATTTGCGATGTAAAAAAGAACGCCTCCTATATGTAAGTTGGCATTGAAAAGCAGTGAAAATTAAGGTATGACATGCTCTGTAGGTTTAGGTTATACCTATCTTATCCACATTCAAATAGCTGGATCATTAGTAGGTCTATGTTTGGTGATTTTGCTGACGAATGATGTCATCTGTTTACTCGGTATTGCAGATTATTTCAATGTTGAACGAGGATATAGCTGTAGTCCGCAGGATAGTTGTTTCTCACAATATAGTTAAAAACATATTTATTTATAAATATGCAACGGTGGTTAATTAACTCCTAGGTAACCCATATAATATGTGAAATATTAAACGGAATTAAAATTCTGTGTCTTAGATATTTAGATACAGGGTGTTAAATGTATAGTATCACATAGTCATAAAACTTGGTAACATTATTTTCAGCTTACAGATAATGGAAAAAAATTGGATACCTCATGGGCATAGCTAGAGGGAAGAACTAATGGGTAATTATGGCATTCACAAAACATATTAGTTCTACCTAAATATTCTAATCAAGTAGACTTAGATCTAGTATCTGAGGAAGCCAAGGTGTTCATCCTCTATGGATTTATTGGGAAATGTTATGCCTAAACATTTTCTTACAATTCAATTATAAAGAGCAGGCGCTTACACGGCGTCCTGGGTAAGCGGCGACAAACGGCCGGAGCGGCCGGTGCGTCCGGAACGGCCGAAGCAGTGATTTTCAAAATTAGGGCATCATAGGTTCTGTCCTACGTACGAGGTACCGCCCGGCACAAGCGGCTCGTGCGGTTTTCATGCGGACGAGGCGACCAAATTATTTGATAATTCCGCCTATGCCGCTTCAGTTTACATTTTTAAATCTTAAAAATTATATGAGAATTATATACTCGACCATTCGAGAGAATGGACCTGCACTCTTAACAGAAATAGACGTTAGCATGGCGTCGGCCATTTCAATCGCGTCGAACGCGCCAGCCGCACACCGGCCGTTTGTAGCCGCTCACCCAGGACGCCGTGTTAGTCGTATATAAACCATATTTTTTGGCATATCTTTATAGACACGTCATCCAGAGGAATAGACAAGCTATTTTTGAAGGAAATTTAAATAATTTTTAGCTATGCAGTGGTGGTTGGTAGAAATTAAAATGACCATATTTTGATAATGAAATGATAATTCATACCGTTTTTTAACAGTTGATACCCCACAATTTAGTTGTATATTTTGCAAATTTCTTCAGAATCTTTTTCTTCATGAAAGTTCTCCTTGCGGGGCTAGAAAAAATCATCTCCTAAAATGATACGGGTCCTTCGGTAATTAGGCATGATGACAGTAACCAAGATTCAGTAAAATTATGTGTTTATTTAATGAAATAATTCATGGATTATAAAAATAGTACATTATACTATAAGGGAGAGAAATGCGTTATTTTGGCAGAGGTGCAATTTGAAGCCCGAGGGCTACAATGCACCGAGGACAAAATAGCATCTCTCCCGAATGGTATATACTATTTTTTCCATGGTCTCATTAACTTAAAAACACATATTTTGTCATTATGAAGTAAGTAGCACCAGAATTATTGTATTCGGATTTGAGCATTTATTTAGTAGTCGTTGAGTTATTGTCATAACTACAAAATAAACAAACAAAAAGAATTGTCAAATTAAGGTGCTAGTTTGGTTTAGTTTAAAGTTTGTTTAGTGCACAATGAATAATTGTGAGTCGGAAGAGATTGTGGAGGCTGCAAATATTGCAATAAGCAATTTGCTGCCTACGAAGTCAAGATCTTTATACGATATAGCCTACAATCGGTTCAAAAAGTGGTGCGCCGAGAAAAATGTTCAAGTATACAGCGAGAATGTTTTGTTGGCATACTTCAGTGAAAATGCAAAGAATTACAAGTCTTCCACATTATGGGCGCAATATTCTATGGTTAAGTCATGCTTGATAATTTACGACAACATAGATATAAGCAAATTCCCCAAGCTGATCGCATTTTTGAAAAGAACCGGTGACGGATATCAAGCGAAAAAATCGAAAATATTGACAAAGGGTGAAATCGACCGTTTTCTATCAAGTGCAGATGACAAAGAATTCTTAATGATTAAGGTAAGATTACTTTTGTTGTTAGGTATTTCAATTATTAAGTATTTTGATTTTTTATAGGTTGGATTAATTCTGGGGATTGCCGGAGCTTGTCGAACTGATGAACTAGTCAATTTAACTGTAGATGATATTGAGGATGTAGGCTCTT